CGCTGGTTTGCAATCTCTTCACACAGCTGTCAGCTTGTTTCTCTGGGCTAGGTGGAGTGACAGTTTGAGGTTTGCTTTTCCTTCTCACATCTGTGGATGCCTCTTTATCGCTGCCTGCTGTGGACATCGGGATGATGCTTCCGCTTCAGTAGAGGGCTAACATCAATTTCCCAGAGTATCCCCTACAGGCCAAGCTCTGACACCCCTGAAAACAGAACGGCTTGAGACTAAATGCTCTGGGCTAGCCATGCAAGGGAGAAGGAAGGCAAAGGGTCGCCTCCAAATGCTAGGACCTGAGTGCCTCTGCCTTGGGCCTCACAAACCACCATCTCAAGGACATCAAAACAGACATCTTTAGGTTCCAGAGCTGGCACATCCCAGAGGCTCTGCCATACCAAGTAAACTCTCCTCTGAGTGGCAGGAAATACTATTCTGAACCCTTTGATGTGTGGGGGTGGGTGTGAAATGGGAGTCAGTGAGGTGGAGAAACCAAACACCGGAAGCTGCTGAGACTATATACTTTGGCATGTATTTTCCTGAAAGCCAAGGGTACTGAGCATCGTTTCATAGCCATTGGTGCTTCTTTTGAGAACTGTGTTTATCTGTCTATTTATTGAAGGGATGATTCGTCTGGTATTTAACTTTTCTGTGTTCTAAGACATATTTTTTTAAGTCGATCCTCATTATAAGTAAATGTCTAAATCTATTGTATAAAATAAGCTAAGCTTAATTTCCCTTAACCTCCACTGCCTTATTTTTAGTTTTCTAAAAGGCAGTTTTGTGTGTATTTAAAAACATCTTTTAAGTATATACAAAACAGTAGGGTGAATATGTCCCCTCACCAGTTACTAATGCAATGCAGCTTTGTGAGTGGACCACTGTCAGCCTCATTGTGGCTAGTGGTTAGTCTCCAAGTCATAAACAGAACATATGAGGAGGACGTGACTTGACATAGCTATTGTTAGGGCAGTCTGTGACTCAAGCAGAAAGGACATGTTGCCACCACATAAAATTTCTTGGGATCTCTCTCTCTCTCTCTCTCTCTCTCTCTCTCTCTCTCTCTCTCTCTGTGTGTGTGTGTGTGTGTGTGTGTTTGTGTATGTGTGTGTGCACACGTGTGTATTAGAGAGACAGAGCAAACCTTCACATGGAAAAAATTCCTCATGAACTCTGTGTGTGTGTGTATGTGTGTGTGCACACGTGTGTATGAGAGAGACAGAGAGCAAACCTTCACATGGAAAAAATTCCTCATGAACTCTCTCTCTCTCTCTCTCTCTCTCTCTCTCTCTCTCTCTCACACACACACACACACACACACACACACACACACACACACACACAGAGCAGAGACCTTCAAATGTGAAAAAAACCCTCAGGATCTCTGAATCAGATTGCATTGGTAGCTTGGACCAAGGCACAACTGTGCTCACTCACGTACAGCTTTCGCCCACACAGAAACTTTCTCAGATGTTCAGAACCACTCACTTCTCTGCCTGAGAACAAAGGGCCACACACACCTAGTGGCTGAGTTAGAATCTCTGTGGCTCTAGTAACTCTTCCAGTGGATCTGAAACATACAGTCCCTGTGGCTTTTCCCTGAAGGGTCTTGTTCCCATGGATGTCCTCCCTCCAAAGTCAGATTCAGACTCTCTGTACCCCAGATCTATTCCAAAACAAATTCCCAGGTCAACCTAACCCAAGCAGGGACTGCCAAGCTCTCCCCGCCCCTTCCCGAAGGAGTCACTTCAAAGTCACAACATCAGCAAGAACGCGGAGTCCCCAGATGAAGGGTTTGTAAAGTGTCCTGGCCACATCTGTAAGGAGAGGCAAATATGACCATACCCTGTTTGCTTTTTAAAGTGGGAAACTAAAATTAGCACAGATCCCAAGCTCCTTCTCAAAGCAAAGCTCCTGTAACACACCCAAAGAAAATCAGTGACGAGCTGGGTGGGGAGAGAATGACAGAAATTGACAGAAGGCAGGGAGTTAAGTGACCCTGTGTCTCAGGATGGAGGCAGCAAAGTCAGAACTCTCAGACAGTGACAATTAGATAGCGAGATATCGCCACTGGCTATAAATCCAGTTAAAAACACACTGGTGACACTGGTGGGTGGATCAAGATCTAGGATCCTGCTACAACAAAGACTTCATTTCAATTCTGCGTCTGGCCTGAGATTCACCTCTGGAAGTGGGTGCTGTTTGTCATTTCTGTATCTGGGTACCTAACAAGAGGCAAGCTGGGGAGGTGGGGCTTACACTTCAGCTCACAGCTTGTAGGGAGAAGACCCAGGAGGTCAGGAAAGTTTGGCAGGTGCAGCTTTGTGGTGGCAACATACAGCGGCTTCCTCATATCTCAGGGAGCCAGGAAGCTGGAATGGTGGCCTCCAGATGGTGTTTACCTTTTTGTTTTTTAATGTTAGCTTAGACTTCCAACCCAGGGGATGGCACTACTTCCGCTCAGAGCAGGTCTTCTCGGCTCAGTTCGTCCTCTATGAAAACGCCCCCATAGGTATAACGGACACGGCTGCCTCCTCCTAGTGCCCTGCGTTTCTTTACCCAATGAGGCGGGCGATCAAAGTGTACCCTCACAGTACCTGACTGTGTTTCAGTTTCTCTGCCTACCATTCGGGCAGGAGCCGTCTTTCTCCTTCTGGCAAAGGAAGCAGAGGAATACAGCAAGTTTCCATGAAAGGAACGCAAGCACACATGTACTCAAAAGAAAGACTAGTTCATAACAGTGGGCTGCTGCTGTGGACACACTGCCTGCTATTAACACCACGATGTGCCTTTCAGCTTTCCAGAAGAGGTCTCTGGGGAAGGCGCGTTCTTACAGTACGAAGGGAACCTCTAACTGCATCCTTCTTAGCTTGACACCCAATCTCGTCACCTCTCTGCTAGGTGACCTGGTATCACACTAAAGGCTGTTTTTGGAAAGGAAGCTAGCTCACCTGGAGCAGGATGGTAGGAGAACCACGGCCTCTCCTGGGGACCAAAATCATACAGCACGTTGGATAAATGCCATCTTATTAGGGTAAACGCATTTTAACACATCAGAATCTATGGAGAGCACTCATGTCAGGATAAATCTCTTTCGGAACGGTTTGATCTAGAGAGGCTCTGATTACCCCCACTGTCTAGCATCTGCACATCTGGAATTAAGGCCCATGTGTCACTGGATGTCTTGAGCATCCACTGCCATAGTAAAGTCGCCTTAAGGTAAACTTGGCTTCCAAACACCATGACGTAACCTAGAGCATAACTCGTGAGAGGTGTCACAGCCCCCCAGTCACACCCTCTTTTTGAGAATGTAATTACAATTGTGCGCCCAGAGAAAGAGGGGGTGAGAGGGAACAAATCATCAGCATCTGAAAACATGGGTCTATTTTAATGCAATGAACACGTTCAACAATTTTATTAAAAACTGGACTTCGGACAGCTCCAGAAACCTCCCCCAAGTGCACTGACAAGAGGTTGGTGTGGAAAGGAGGAAGAGATGTCCACAGTGTTGTCATGGAGGGATTTGTGCTAGGGTAGCATGACTATCATCCAATACAAGGCAGAGTGGTTACCATGTCCCTCAGAAGACTTGGCAACGGAAGAAGCAGAGCAGAGCAGCTGACAGCTAATGTCTGTGGTAACGGGGTCCTTAGCAATACCCCCCTGAGGGTGAGTCAAGGGACCCTCAACTGAGACTCCAATCACCATTCCAGTCCTCTCTGTTGTTCAGCATCTTAGGGCGGTTAAAGTACATGAAGAGTGGAAAGTGCCTGGGGGGATGAGGCCTGTTCAGTGGTGCAGCTGCCCATGAGTTAGTCATACTGTGGGGGACACTTCCTAGTGACGAAGCTGCCTTTGAATAGCCCATGTTCCTGTAAGTAGCCCCAGTAACTTCAATGGCTCACCAAGCTGGACTCAGTTGCAATCTGTTTTAATCTGCAGGGGTTCCCCTTGTTTGTAATAAAGAGGCATTTAGATCTCTCCAGGCTATTCCATATCATAAATGCCTAAACCTTCCTGCATTAATCCACTCAGAATGTCAGCTTGAGGAAGGCAGGGGAGTATGTTTCATATTTTACTAATATTTATCTATCTACCTACCTACCTAATTATTTGTATGTGTGCATATGTGTAGGAGGGGGTGTCCATGCCCTGGCATGTGTGTGTGGAGGTCAAATGAGCACAGAGAACTGTACTCAGGTCCTAAGGCTTGGTAGCAGACACCTTTACCCACCGAGCCATCTTGCCAGCCCAAGGAGTTCTGTTTCACTCATTACTCGTCCCGGAGTGTGGAATGCCACAAATATAACTTATACAAGGGATTCTATATGCATCAAAATGGGTGGATGGTGATTTGTTCATTGAGTCACCTATAAGATTTCAATCATCCAAGGAATCCACTTTTTCTCAAGATAATTACCAAGAGATGTGGCCATAAACAATTCATGTGGAGATACTTCTGAGAACATAAGGGTGGAAGACTAGGGTCTTGTAAATATTTAGCCACATTTCAGGATGAGTAACAGGGTTCCAATCTCAGTTTGAGAACGAGTCTGGTTGGAATCTCCAGTCATGACACCAGACACCATCCACTGACTAGTTTAACAGTCTCTGTAAGGGAACCACAGTCACAGGCTCCTACCAAGCATGGATCCTTTGCTGGTGGACGAGTTTGTCAAAGCAGTCATTCACTTGCGTCTTTATTCAAGAAAGGAGGGGCAATTAAAAACAAACCTAGTCTAATGGTACTCTTTCTGTGTGTGCCAATGGCTGGAGACAGAAAAAAATGACCAATCACTAGTCTTGAAATCGGTGGCTGAACAAGTTCCTTGGCTTCCTGTTGATGGTGAAACACGAGAGGATGTGGACTCAGCTCTGCTGAGGGGACACAGTCACACTCTGTTGGAAACAGCCCCTCCCTGTCCTCACACTCTGAACACAGGGACAGGTGTGGCACTTAGGTGGCAAGATCTTAAGGAATAAAAAGACACAATACAAAGCAATACAAAGGAGTTATATAAATTTATTTTCTCATGTAACGATTGGTTTAGAAAAAAATCCCCACTTTCAATGTTCACCCCCATCTCTCAGGTTTTTTTTAAAAAAAAGTGATAAAAGGATAAAAATTCCCCCACAAAATACAATCTGTGTTGCTCATATTTACAGGTTACCAGTCACGAGTAAGGCCAGATTGGTTAAAAGTTACCATTACTTCAAATAACCCACATATTTTGTGTATGGCAGGACACCAGCAAGTCTCTATGCTCTTGGCTGCATCCAGAGAAAGGGAGAAAAACCTTCCAGTGTTTTTATTTATTATTATTATTATTATTATTATTTCTTTTTAGCCTCCCTATGCAATCAAGTTGAAGTGGGCAGTTTCCCTTTGGTGTAAAATCAAAGCACTGTTTATCCAGCCTAAACCAGCTTCACACTGAAATTCTGTTCCCTCTTCTTCTCTTAGTAAATGCATGGCAGAGTCCACAACAACCTCCAATGATTAGGGTTTTTTGTTTTTGTTTTTTTTTTTTACTAATTAAAGAAATAACAGAATTTAGAGAACCGAGCAGTCTACCGAGATGGTGGATATGCAATAAGCCTTGGGCAGCCATCTGAGCACAGGGGTGCAGGATGGCCACGCCACACTCACAAAGAGAGTGATTCCATTCTGTGCCCTTTGGCGGTTAAGGCTGAGGTGGTGCCAGGTAGAAGATACTGCTGTGACAAGCTCCTTGTCATGCTTCCAGGGGGCCGAAGTTTTCCAGCTGAAAACCTCTCTCTGGGTAAAGATGCCTTCAATTCTTCAGCGATCAGAATAAACCGCAGGGCAGGGATTTCTCACCTCACCCTGCTGTGTACACAGTCTTCCAACACCTCTACCTAGAGCAGGTGGGAGCAGTCTGTGTCACACTGAAAGCCGTCACACACTAAACATAGACACATCACGAAAGGTACCTGGCGACACACCCTACAGGGGACGTTTTCCGAAAGATGTATACACTTGGTAAGACTATCGCTCTGAAGGGAGAGAGGCATGGGGGGCGGTTTTCTTCATGGGACTGAAAACCTTCAGACATCTGCAAAGACAGAAAATAATGTCGCCCGGTCTCTTGGACTTTCACAGTATAAGATTGTAGTGATAAACCTGGCCACTTAGAAAACCTTTCTCTCCCCCTTCAGAATCCAGCTCTCGAAGGAGCGGTCACCCAAGGGACTTCCTCTGTTCCCAACTGATCCGAGCTGACTTCGAGTGGACTGGAAGGCACTTTGAAGAATGTCCCAGGACCCACAGGGGGTGGAGTTACTGGGTAAGGAGGGGCCTCTTCTCTTCATAGTGGCAGCACAGCTGTCTCGTCAAATGGTTACTTGTCTTTTTTTTTAAATAAAGTGACAACCTAGGGCTCCAGTTATGAAGGCAGCTCATTCTCTACCATAAATCTCTAGAAAATATCGATTTCATCGGTCATCTACTGTAGGCTTATAATATCTAAAAATAAAAGTTTGATATAAATAAACGTCCTTTAGTGGCAGTATACTAAAAGACCAGCCCCTTGGCCTTTGAGACAGCCATTAAGATCATTTTTAGCAATACAGATGGCAGCTAACTATGAGAACTGCAAAGGGCTGGTATTGCGAAGTCCATTTGGTCTTTTGTACCTGGCCAGTGAGCTGCAGTCACGGCCAACGATCCCTAAGATGCTGACTCAAATGGACAGAATTTGGTCCAGAGCCAAGTGGCTCACATTTCCCAAGAGCACAGAAAACTCTGCACGGGACCCACTAATGTCCAGTACCATTTCAAATAAACACTGGAGGGAGCCAGAAAAACGTGTACCAATAGCAGAGACACAGAGGTGAGAGACAGATTCCACAGGACGAGCAACTAGACCATGTAAAGTGCTGGAAGACCTCAGTCATTACTTTAAAGCAGAAAAATTATACTTTGATTATTTGTTTTTTTTCAAATCCCCAAACATCAAGACAGTTCAAGCAAACAAAATTCTAAGTTTTCTGGCATCCCAGATGTCAAATTCGCCTTCATTTTAGCTAAGGAAAAAAAAAATCAGTGCATATATAAGAAAATAGGAAGAAACAAAGCTCTACCCTCATTTTGCAAATTCTGTCCAATTGCAAGTTTAAAAAGCTTTCTTTCCACTTTGGTGCTTTGAGGCAACATGAGAACATGAGACATATCTCCTGTCTTCCTCTTTTTTTTCTTTGCCACGAAGTACAGGTGCGAAGTCAACGCTTTGGTCCCGATCCCAGATACCCAGAGTGCCAAGGACGGACGGGTGCAGTGAAGACTGTCCACAGGTCATGTCCATCTCTGCAGGGAGCAGGTGGGTGGGTGTCCAGAAGGTACTGCTACCAACGGCCACTGACGCTGGCAATGTCTGAGTGATACTGGCGGGGCAGCCTCCCACTGGCTCCGCCTTCCAGGAAGGAGGTGCATGCATTCGGCGGCGGTTCAAAAAGTTTTCTTCGGTTTTTACTTAGCTCTAGGAAGAGAATGAAAGAGAGAAAGAGCCGTCTGTTAGCTGTCCAGTGGAGGAGTGCCCTGGAGAAGGGGAGCACTTCAGAACTCAGAGGATGGTGGCAGTGGGAATTGTGGGGAAAGGCCACAATGGGTGGATGGCGGGAGGTAGACTCTCCATTTATAGCGGGCATTTCTAAACATTTCCTAGCCTACTATATGAGAGGCACTTACTGCTCACCTAGAGAACTGGGGCAACCCATGCTTATTGTAGTTTGTAAAACGCCCAGGGCAGTGTCATTCCCAGAATTCCCTAGTCATATCGGACAGGTTTGCTAGGCCAAAAGTCAGAGGCATTGGGCACAGTAGAGGCGTGAGAAGATATATTACCAGTGGCAGAGAGGATTGCAATAGCTGGGGGCACAGCTTAGTGGTCTAACGGGGGTAAGGCCCTAGGATCAAATCTCAGCAAAACACACATACAAACACACGCATGCACACACGCACTCTTCCTCCATGACAAACACAGTAAACGCTCTAAAGTAGGCAAGCCAGACATGGAGAGAGACTCCCATGCCTGAAGACTTCACAAGAGAGAATTAAGCTGCCTCCCCACAGCTACCAAGTACCAGGTACACCAAGCCTGGGCTTCTTGAAGGTCCAGCCAGTTCTCTGGATCCTATTCAAGCAAGAACTTTGTACAGAAACATCCACTTGGTAAAGATCTTATCCACTCAGAAAGTTAATACTTAAAAACAATACTGAAATCTAAATTGTCTGGGGAAGAAAAATAAAACACCCTCCTTTGATTTCAAAGAATCATGAGTGCTTAGAAAATATATCTAGTGATTTTTACAGTACAGAACCAGACAGAACGGCAAGCAGCTAGCTAACCGATAGATGCTGTGTGACTTGGCATCCACCCTCCACCTTATCTGATGGACCCTGGCACCACCACAAACTCTCTAGGAAGACATGCATGGGGAACCTGAGACAGGAAGTTACAATTCCTCATAAGCACCAAATGGAAAGCTCTCCAATTTGCTCAACTTTCAACAATTAGAAGGGCGTAAAACTGACTTGCTTGAGTCTGTGTTCAGGAGACTCAGGCAGGAGATGCAACACCTTAGACTTGTACAGAGCTCAGTTTAGTACCTCCCCCCCCCCATGCCCCCATTGCCTTTGGAATTCTGCAGTCACACTGTGAGCCATGCCAGCTCTGGCAAGTCTAAAAATGAGAAAATGAGCCACATGGGTGAGGACCACCAGAGAGTCAGCCACACTCGTGTCTGCTGAGTAGTGAATAAGTCAGCCAGCAGACCCTTACGTTCACCGGAGTGTTTTCAGAATGGGAATCAAGACAACCTTGGAGGTACCTCTCTTTTGTTAACACACTGTTCTCAGAGACAAGAAAACATTGATGCATTAAAGGGGGTGATGGCAGGTACCTTAGAATTACTTTGTTTTGCTCAAGTCTTCCCTAAGGGGCAGATAACACGAGTAGTCTCTATTTTATAGACAAGAAAACTGGTTTTTTTTTTTTAGAAGCTGATAGCACCTGCTTTTGCACCCTGATGAAATGCAGAGTTGAGCCCCCACCTGCCTGAGGCTAAAGGTCCACCAAGCACTGGGTTTTTGTGACCACAGATAAACAAGGCCCTGTGGTCATGAGAATACCACCAGAGACATCACCACTTCAGGCCGGACCAGTGACAGAGAATTAGTTTGTACTGAAGTGCACCGAATCCATTTCTGAATTGTAAGACGAGTTTGCAATCTGTGAAGAGGTGTAAGGCATCTGTAGGAACAAGGCACAGGCTGACACACGTGGCATGGTTGCTGTTTCGCTACAGAAACCGACATCCTTTCTAAAACGCTGCACCACTGTGTCTTCTTTTAAAAACCCACAAACACGGAACTTCATATTTCAGACCAAGAAGGAACTGAATGTTCTTAAAGGCAGACTAATAGAGGACCATCTCTGGTCTCCACTTTTTCTCACAGCTATAAGGTCCGAGTCAGGAGTTTGCTCCCACGTTACAAAGAAGGAAAAGTAAGGGTTGGGGCAGAGCACTCTTCCCAGCACAGGAGACTGTGCAATGAGTCAGTGAAAAATCACAAGGCCACTGGAGCAATTTTCAGTGATTATTTTGAAAAGGTTCCATCAGCTAGCCATCTGAAAGAATACAATGAACATAAGGGGAATCAGGCCATCCACAAAGGTGACGTTTCTGAAAGACTGAACACACGCTTGAGGCTCAGCAACAAAGCTACCTGAGAGAGGCTGTCCAGGTAAGTCCTCCTGCAAACATTTAAGGGTCTTGCATGAGATTAAAAAGCAAACGCCTTCCTCAAGTTGTCTCTTTTGTCTCAGAAAACCTAAGGGGATAGTTTCAGAAATACCAACCTTTTTCTTTGAAATTCCAAGGTTCACACAATCCTGGCAGCTCTCAGGATCTTGTTGCGGATCTGAACAGAGTCACAAACTAAAAGAATAGGTCGGGAGATGTTAGATCTACCTGAGGCTGTGGCAGGAGGCTTGTCAACAGGACACTGCTGTGCCTCACTGAGTCTGTCCAGCTAGCTAACCAGTTACTAAACTAGTCTCAGCAATCTCCTGACTTGGAAAAAAAAATCAAATTTATCCTCGGACATATCACTACATCTCAAATTCACTCCCTACAATATTAAAATGCAGGCTTTCTGCCCCAAGATAAAACCTCATACCAAAAGAACAATTTCAAGGATAAATGTAACCATCTGCACCATTTGGCAAAGGAAACATCATCTAACCAGAAGACAAGCATGAGTTGGGCTGCCCTGCCAGGCTGCATCTCTCTGGAGTGAAATGTTGGGGGTCGTGAGCGGGAGTCTTTGTTATCAGGCAGGCTGAATTTGGAGACGCAACTTTTGATGCAGTGTTTCTTCATGCCAACATCACTTGCAGAGAAAATGATTTATTAGGTCCCAACAAGTGCACTGAGCAGAGTAAGGCAAATCTTCCTCGATGTCATCAAAGAAACCATGATGTGCTAAGCAGTTTCCCAAGGCACCTGATTCCATTTAAAGGCATGAGAACCCGTGAGCCTGTCAGGAGAGCTGTGTCCCCAAAACACACGCTGACCTCAGAAGAACCGAAGATGTCAATTGGAAAAAAATAAAGAGTATTCAAAACCCCTGTGTCTCATGCCCTATTCTCCCAGTTCTAGACTGGGGTATTGCTGTACTCCAAAGGAAAGCTTTCTGATGATCTGCCTACAACCTGTGGCTGAACGCTTCACAGGACTTGGAACCACTTCACAAAGGAAACACTTGGTTTTCCTTACACTGCTACCATTATTTTGTGAAGGCGAGTGAAAAGCTATAGTGTGTTGGGGTAGATACTTTCCTGTAGAGAAGCGCTGGCCTGTATTAGGAAGTGTGTGATTTAGTCAAATGTCAATAATCTCGCTTGACAATCAATGAAATGCTGTGGGAGTATCTAATGTCAGAGTCTGAGAATAATCCTGTGTGGGTAGGCTCTAGGGTAAACAGAGAACAGAACAATCTTATTACCAAAGACGGCAAAAAGAACAAACAAGGGTGTGAACCAGCCTGCTAAGAGCCTCTATCAAGCCTGCTGATGTCTTCCACAGAAGGATAGGTCTCAGAAATGGAAGGGGACCCACACAATCGCCACTGCGGTCTACATTCACGACAAGCCAAAACCAAGAGAGATTTGGAAACTCACTCAGGAACCAATGACTTGGCTCAGTGGGATTCAACCTATCTGAATCCATTGTTCCCCTCACCTAGAGTGGGATAAGCTCAAGACTCATCAGGAATGGCGCATCCGCCTGAACACTGTTAATATAGGCTGGTGGAGGCCCTGGAGTCGAGTCCTGAAGCGTGGATGTACAGGCGCTATGTGGAGGAGCCTACCACTCCACTCCAAACCACCCACGCTGATGCCTCTCCTGGTTGAAGGCACCTGTGCACATATCTGCTTTAGACAAAGATTTCTCCCGAGGAGGTGGGTCCACCGCTAAATGAAATGGGAAAACCCTGAGGTTCCCAATCCTATTTTCAACTATGAATAGTGAACGCTATCTAGAAAGGATGCATCCTATCCACCAGCTGGATGCAGCTGCTTGCCTTGCACAGGTCCGGCCTGCAAAGTCACAGTCCCCCATCAGAGAATGCTTGCTTTCTGCCTTTAGTGTCACTGTCTTTCCAAGAGGCAGACACACATAAATGTGACATTCAAGAACACTGCCCGCAAGACTTCAATGGTCCTCCTTCTCTGAACATTGTTGTGTACTGACCTATGTGTGCACCGCCTCAATTCATCACCTGCATGGCACCACAATGAGTACATACAGAGTACTCACTAAAGGAATATGCAACAGACCATCAAGAAGGCAGTCTAGGGATGTAGATACTATTTTTCTTCCATCTGTGACTCAAATTTTCTACTCAAAACCTTAGAAAAATCAAAAGGCATTAAGTCTGACAAGCACTGCCAAGAAACACCACGAATGCTCTTTTCCTCTTAGTGGGATGATCCTAAGGACATACACACTGGAACACAGCTGTCAATCAAGAGCAGTTATTCATAAACTCAGCAACTTGTGTATCACAGTTGCTCACCCATTCTCATGCCCTGCATGGGGCGATTCTGGCTACATCTTTCTGAGGAAGTCTAGTACAGGGAGCAATAATGCCAAGGAAGGCTTTGGTCAAGTGCCTTGGTTAGGTAGTAGGGTGTTCTCAGCATTGGCCAAGCGTTGGCAGGACGACCCCCGCTGCATCATATCCAGCATGGTATCAGAGGAGTAAGTAGCTGATGGGCAGAACCAGGCCCACATGTGGAGACCCCTGGCAGAGGGCTTTCAGATTTTAAATATGACTTTAACATATCTACTCACCTGAGATGGCCAACAGCATTTTCCTCCTGGCACCAAAGGTCGTAATTCCTAGCTCCTTCAGATCCTGATCTGTGAGGGTGAGGAACGTCTGGAGATCAATCTGTGGAAAAGAGAAAGAAGCTGTAGCTAGTGTGAAGTGTGTGTGTGTCTTTGCCACTGTGGAATCGACCCATTGTTGTATTGATTCGTTAACCTTATCTACTTCCTAAAATCAATGATGGCAGCACCAACCCAAGGGCTAGACATTAGGAAACAGGTGGTAGGGGCTAGAGACATGGTTCAGCAGTGAAGAGCACTGGTTGCTCTTCCAAAGGACCCTGGTTCAATTTCCAGCACCCACATGGAGGCTCATGAGTGTCCATAACTCCAGTCCTAGGATATCTGATGTTCAATTCCGTCCCCCATGGGCTCTGCACACACATGGTACACAGATATACACTCAGGAAAACATTCATATACAGTAAACAAAATCTCAAGGAGAAAGAAAGAAGGAGGGGAGGGGAGGGGACGGGAGGGGAGGGGAGGGGAAAAGAGGGAAGGGAAGAAAGAAAGAAAGAAAGAAAGAAAGAAAGAAAGAAAGAAAGAAAGAAAGAAAAAGAAATTGGTGAATTGAAAGCAACTGTTAACAGGAGACAGACTATGCCAGCAACTTAATACCATCAAGATAAATTTAGCTCCGAGCATCTTGGCAGCTACGGCCAATACAAAACAACACAAATACTGTACTGCATTTGTGAACTGATGAAAAGAAGGGTATGAATCAAGATTGTTTGTTAGCTTTCAGTTGTAAGAAGAAATCAAAGTGTACACAAAATGTTAGCTTCCATTGTGCTGTATACAACCATGCGAGAGAATCAAGTCCCCAGTTCAACAAACTCAACGGACTATCTCAAAATTGGCACAGAACTGCCCACATAACAGCACAGCTGTGCCTTGGCCACACAAAATGGAAGAAAGCAGTTCAGGTGCAGGGGCTCTTATTTTGAAGGTAGCCTGCAGTACTAGAAAGTAACAGCAATGAAATCAGATCCCGGCTGTCCCATCACTAACACCGGGCATTTGTTGACAGGCAGTAATGTGCCCTGCAAGCCCCTGTACACACCATGTATGGCTGCAGATGTGAATAAGGACCTGCAGGCTCAGTGATAACCTCAGAGGAGCTATGACCCCAAGGTTCCCCTACATCAACACTCCAGTGTGTTCTCTCAGCTAAAGTGGTGAAGGTTGGTTGAGGCCCTGGTGCGGGACAATCGTCTATATTTTGTCAATTATGTTTTAAATAAGTGCTGTTGGCCAGTAGCCAGGCAGGAAATGGAGGCAGGACAACCAGACAGGAAGTAGAGGCAGGTCAATGAGAACAGAACTCTGGGAGGGAGGAAGCCCATTCCTCCCCAGTCCTGTCCCAATCACAGAAGAAGGAGGATGTGATTGCCCCGCTGAAAAAGGTACCGAGCCATGTGGCTAACACAGATAAGAATAATGGGTTAATATAAGTTATAAGAGTTAATAAGAAGCCTGAGCTAATGGGCCAATCAGTTTGCCATTAATATAGATCTCTGTGTGATTTCTTTGGAACTTAACGACTGTGGGAACTGGGCAGGACAGAAAACCTCAGTCAACAGGGTCCTTTTCTGCAGACTCCACTTTCTACTTCTCTGCTTTTCCACACTATACTAAATAAGAAATGAGATGGCATTTTCTTCAGCAGCTAGAACAAGCTGAGACTTGACTAAATGCCCGGGGAAGGGACAACCACAGGTCAACGTGGCTTCCTTCTGGAGGTCATCACACCCACGACCCAAACAAAGATGCCCAGGAAGATGCAGCCTGGCCCACCTCTTGCTGCTGGAAGACGTCTGTGTATTTGCCCAGACCCAGTTTGCTGAACAGCTCGGGGAGGTCGGAGCCTTTGAAGCAGCTGTTCAGGTTGCAGCCATTGCTTCCTGTCAGCGAGGAAATGCAGTCCATGTAGTTGCTGCTGCTGAGATAATGCTCTCCTGGAGGGCAAAGGAGAGACAGTCAAGGCCGCAGAGACCGCGGTTTAATTAAAAGCCTTAATCACCAAGTATTTCAGATTTCATTGTGCGGTGGAACAGAGCACTGGCTGCGGAAGCACAGTAATCCGTCACTGCGGGATCGGCTTCTCACCAAGGAAACACTGTTTATTGCTGTCAGGAAGCCCCTGCCATTCCGTGGTTACAGTCGGGAGACAGAAAGTTAGCACCAGCCGCTCCTCGGCAGCTAATAAGCATTCATTGTGTTCCCCCCCCACCCCAGCGTTGGCTCTTTGTAGCTAATTTGATGGGAATCAAATAAAGAGCTGGAGAGGAACCCTGGGACACAGTAAAGGTACAGGAAGTTATAACATGCCCAGGTTCCCCTCTGGATGGCAGGATGGCTCTCTGCCTCCCGACCTGGGCCTCCTTCGTGTAGAGTAATCGTGCAGCAGTACAGCACACACCCCCCTTAGTATTGAAGGCCACATAGGGTATCAAACTGGGTGCTTCTGAAGTGAGTAAGATCTGCAGCAATGAAGCTGAGGGGTACATGGCCATGCTGCCTCTTGCCTGTGTGCCTATCCATCCTCTCACAGCAAGGATGTGGCCCTAATAGGGATGATTTCTAGCAAATGGAAGAGACAACGCTCCTCCATGCCAGGCAGCTCCATGCAGATCAGGCCAGGGCTCTGCCACAGCCAGGCCTCAGAGTTAGCTTTGCCTGGGTTTCTGGGGCCAGTGATCACTTTCTCCCCTTTCCATGGGCAAACTGAGACACTCTCTGCTTATTTCAAAGGCAAGGAATTGACTAGTAACATTTCTTTTTCAAATGGGTCTATTCTTACGGTAAGAAGAGGAAGGGATCCCAAACTAACCCCTAAAATAACATCCTTGGACTATTACTTACAGGTAAGATAGAAGCCCCCCAAAATCATCAAAGCAGACCGAGTCAAGGTTTGATGTTACAAAACTATGTGCTGGGAGCCCTTCAGCTGGCCTCCCATGAGCAGACCTCAACTGCAGGCTGATGGTGTAAATTGCTGTCCAAATGATAAACTTACCTCTTGGTAGAACAAAGGGGAGCTACCAAAATCTACGCTTGAGCCACTGGTATAAACAGGGAAGCCCAGAGAAGGAGGAGACTTTGAGACTAAGACTCAGGGTATAAAGAAAAAGTGGCTAAGTCCTTAGTCTTCAATAAGGTAGCCACTGGGAACCTGAGATGAGGTGAGTGGGAAGTCAAATGTTGGACCAGTTTTACGTACATTCTAAGCCTGGACCAAGTAAAACACATTGAAAATGAAACCTCCTATGGGAAATGTTTACAATGGCCCTTAACTTCGTGTTGACTATTGACATGTTTGTGTTAACTGTCAGCAGTTTCTACACCTTCTTTAAAACCCCACCCCAATTCCTACAAACTCCCTGTAAAAGTCAACTTCTTGGGCTTCTTGAATCGCCCCATTTCTTTTCCACAATCTTGTCTGAGCCTAGTTTTCAGTCCAACAACTTAGTACAGTTGGTTTAAGTTATCTACAGGAAACGAGAAATGATAGCAAAACCAGCTTCCACCAGGCCACAGGTCAAACACCTACCCCCCAAGGCCTGTGTGGAACAGTAGCCCACCTCTGGGTTGACTGTCGGGCCAACATAAGGCCTGGATCCTAACAGACTGTACTGTGCATGTTTAGAAGATCAGACGGTAGCTGATGGGAGTTTCCAGCTACAACTCACGGTTCCTAGGGAGAGGGGTTGCTCTCACTTCCTGATTTGGTTAACAGTGTAGCTACTCTTCAAGCTGGAGACGCCTGACAACACAGCCACCTGGACTAACCATAGCCATAGGCTACAAGTAAGACCCACTGCCCTCATCTGCAGGGCTTTCAGACCATTTGTGCCGCGTGTGTGTAATCCCAAATTTGGCAAGGACCCTGAATAAAAAAGGCATGATTAACAAACTTCATGGCCACTGTGCAATCTTTGGTCTGGCTGTCCATTTCTACCATCTAGAGGCGCCAACACCCTGCTTGGCCTCTGCCACATTAGCTCAGGCAAAATGCCAATGATTTAAAGTGATTTCTTTGTTTAGGCTAATCCACTTTGCTTAAAACAAGACCTGTGTAATGACAATGCCAGTTGACATGCCAACGTGGATGGGGAAAGTCTTAAGATCCCACCCCTAGACGAAGCACTACAGACAATCAATCAATGGCCCTGAGAGAGGGAGATAGGGGACTATGGGATGGGGGGACTGGAGGAGGAGGGATGCCGGTCAAAACGATGCAAATACAGTATTCATGGATAAAATTCTCAAATTACAAACATTTAAGCTAAAAATCCTGGGGTCTCACCTTTAATATTTAGCTTTTCTTCAGTTGTCAAATATGCTCCCTTGAGAATTTCTTACTCAACTGCCTTCCCAAGTTTCTATCTCTTGTTATTTGGAGGTGTGTGTGTGTGTGTGTGTGCGCGCACGCGCACGCGCACTTGTGTCATTCACTCCACAAACGTCTACAGAACATGTGCCGGTTAGGTGCCAGGCACAGACTGACACACAGTACTCAGTAAGCATTCACCGGGTATTACTGACCCGCAGAGCTCACTCAGATTCTGCAAGGCAGGTCACCGTAGTAAATGAGGGCACTTCGGGATGCAAGCACTAGAGCATCCTCCATGTACAAAAGGCAGTGGGAGGAGCCAGGAAAGCTTTGGGAAGAAGCAACTCATGACTCACACCAAGCACCTCACGTCCCAGGAGCGAGCTGCCTGCGCCTCACCACTTCACTCACACTAAGCGAGGGCATCTAAGTTGACGCCTGAACATGGGAACGGAAATCAAACTCACTTGACTTGTTCTGTTTGCGCTTGGGACTGCCAATGGGTGCTGCGAATTCGCCGTGACCCATGGGTCCTATTCCATTCCGGTCTCGCCAGTTGTCCGATTCGCTTCCACTTGCCAGATGCTCACGACTGCTGGACCTCGAGAGGGACAAGGAGGAGCCCTGTAAAGAGCCCAAACCAGAGAAGGAAGAGTTCAACACGGTGGGCTTCTCGGAGTGGGAGGAGAAATGATATCATGCCATATCATTGCAATGCCCTTCTGTAGCATTCTAGGGCATGCTCATTCTCCAGATTGTACCAAGCATGAGCATTGACAGACAGCAGGGTCCTCAATAGGAACCGTCTCTATTTTTCTCTAGAGCCTTCCCTACATTCTTCATAATGGAAGCCAGCCTCAATCCTTACGCACCTTCCTGTCTTAGTTCTTCTGAGGCATGGCAGAGAAGACAAGAGGCTTGCCTGCCCAGGGAGCCCCTGCCACAGAAAAGGCAGTGTAAGGAGGCAGATGACATGGAGCTTCCCCGGGCTCTGGTCTTGCTGTTACTGCCTGCCCCCACCTTCTGGCATGCTGACTGACATCAGTCAGGGAAGTGGAACAGGCTAGCCCAAGCCAACCAAAGCAATAAAGACACAGGAGAGGGTTGGCTGCTAGGCAGAGGCCCAGTATTATTCTTTTGGTCTGGTTCCTTTAAGGGCAAGCCATGCCCACTCCCAGCCACTTCTGACCCCCCTCGTCGCCATCTTAACCCCTTTCCTTCTGTCCCCTCTCTTGGCGTGTGCACATGTGTCTCCTCTATGTCTGTCTCTGTAGAGAGCTGCGTGATGCCGCACCTTAAAGATGGTGTTGGTTTCTGCCTTCCACCTTCCAGATGGTGAGTGCTCTTGGTCGTAAACAACTCCATATATGGCTAACACTAAGGATCTGGCTTGCTTCCGCGTTTCTGGACCTATCTGCATTTCCCACGTGGCTTGCTAGGGTTGGCTACCCAGAGGTTATTTAAGCTGTGGGCTGACTTTCCCCAGGGCGAGAGGTCAGAAGATTGTTTAAGGTTCCTGAATAAACCACAGTTAGAAGAGTCTGGTGTGCGTCTTCCTTGCGGGTCGAGGCGGGCACGACATGTCTCCATGTCTTTCTTTCTCTCCCTCATCTTTAAGTAATAAATGTTTACCTTTATGTTTAGCCTTATGTCTATTTATTATGTCCTGCAAGCCTTTTATCCGCCGCACCCGCCCGCCTGACTCTCCTGGCCGCATGGCTGGTACCAGCCTGTCCGGGATGAGCCCGCTGCCACTCGCTGCAGGGAACCTGCACTGCTCTGGCGGCAGCCTCTGCCTGGCTTGCAGGCCGCTCGGGGAACACCGCAGCATTATATTTTTTAACAACAACACCCAGTACATTGCTATCTATAGAAAGTTGTCTGTCTGACCCTGGATAAGAGCAGAGTGTGAGGGGGGAGGAAGGGGGGCTTTCTGTTGCTGTTTAATGATGGCATGTTCCCCGGCAGGCTTGCAGAGCAGCCGCCAGTCCAACAAGGACAGCTGTGGGTCCCTGCAAGATCTCCAGGGTGGCAGGCTGGTCCCGCCATGCAGCCGGGTGAGTCAGGCAGGTGGATACGGTGGATAAAAGGCTCACAGGACATAGTAAATAGACATAAGGCTAAGCATAAGGGTAAACATTTATTACTTAAAGAAGAAGGAGAGGAAGAAAGGCAGAAATAGAAAAGAGGACAGAGAGAGGAAAAACACGTGTGCACACGCCAAGAGACGGGGATAGAAGAGAAAGGGTTAAGATGGCGACCAGGAGGTCAGAAGTGGCTGGGAGTGGGCATGGCTTGCCCTTAAAGGGACCAGATCCAAAGGAATAACACTTTCACCACCCATGTTTGTTTTAGCCAAAAACTTCCTTAATGTTTCAGCACTAAATGCCCCTCACAGCAGTGTTTCCTTGGAGGATTAGAATAAACCATGGCTCATATCCAAAACACCTAACTCAGCTCTTCCTCACTTTGTATCCTTACCAAATGAAATCTCAGAGAGCTTAACAAAACAGTTCTTCTTCTAAGTGATTAAAATCATGTATGTTTGTGCGTGTCCGTGCCATGTGGCTCTACGCCGATTGCACATCATCTTTTCCTTTGTGCCCCTTGAGTTACGACGCTACCAAGATGTTCCCGAATATTCTGTAAAAATGAACTCCAGTCTTTTCTCTCACATCTACTGGCCCCTATCACGACCAAGACACATCCACTCTGGGAGTCTCTTTTCCCATTACACGTTTGTGGGGATTATATAAATTTCTACATGAAAATGCACCACATAAGCCACAAAGAATGAAGCGAATCTACTTTAAAGCAACTACCGCAAAGACCTTAAGTATCTACCTAGCACTTGGAAAGCATCACTTTGCATACGAAAAGCAAAACAGCTTGACTGTGCGGTTACTTCCTCCAGGGAGGAACACCACCTCATCCCTCAGAAGCCTTGGTTCTCCTGCAGAACTAACAGCAGTGTCCTAGGATTACTGGGTACCCAACAATACAGTCCAAAGGCAGATGCACCCTGATAAACATAAAGGCTCACTAAATCTATCCCTAAGACCGGGTGGGGTTTTTCAGCCCCACAAACTCTGCCTGCATCATTCCCAATGTGCTGTAATGCCAGGCTCCAAGCGGGGAAGCGAAGGGCCTTTCTATAGCTCAGTGTTTCATTCTGGAAACCATAGAATGGCAGTCTGCAACTCCACGCTTTCCTCTGCCCTAAGCGGAGGCAAGGGAGGTGGACCACTGCCTGCAGGGTGCCTTAGCTTAATTCTTCTGCTAACAAAAGACAATGCTCCTTCCTCTCAGAGCTCCACCGGCCTGAGGGGAAGTGGACACCTACAGCCTGTAAACACCGCATAAAAACACCACATAATGGTCCCCACATACCGGCAGCAGGAGCCTAAGGTTACTTTAATCTTAAATACAGCCTGCCAGGTGGCTACTGCAACCCTGACAATGGAATTCACGGGGGACTATTCAATAGTGTTTTCTTCTCGGCTTGCTCAAGAGAGATAAAGGCAATTTTTAAAAAGCATTTGCTTTTGCCTTGCATCCATCAACAATCTTATTACAAAAAAATAAATAAATAAAAACCCACACCACCAACAACAACACAAAATAAAGGCAGAGAAAAGGAACTCCATCTACAAACGCTACTAACAATTCTGAAGCCCTCCGCCAGCACATTTGCAGCCTGAGAGGATGATGGAGGCTGGCCACACTAGGCTTAATCACACTCATCTACCCAGCATGTTTCTGTGCAAGCTGGCCGGACTCCCACATCCTAAGACCAAAGCCTGACATTCTCAGATGGACAGGGTCTGCTCAGAGTCACGTGAAGCCCGGCCCCCAGGAGGATGGAGTTCTGGGCCCTTCCTCTGCTTGCAAAGAACACAAGATTCTGCTCACGGTGGAGCTGTGCAGCCAACATCTGGGAAACATACGGATGTTGGAACAGTTGCTTGAGATGCTTCCTCCTGCGTTCCTGGCACATCTCAACATACTGAAGTTGACTCAGATTTGAAAATCTGTTTTTGCTGAATATCTGCCTTTTCCCCTATGGTGGCTTTTGCTGGTGATACTCTCAGACAAAAGGACTCTTTGTAAGATTTTAGGAAACACGGCAGCTGCCCTTTGCTTGATCTTGGCCCTACTCTATCATGGATCTGGTATACCCTTTCATCCAACAAAAACTTACCCCCAAAATATAAATTCCCATCATATGTATAGATGAATAACGTCAAGGGGAGAGGAAAAAAATCTAGTATAAAAGCTCATTCATTTTACACAAGCTCACAGACAGAAAGGGAGCCAAGCCACTCCGTCCCTATGGCCATAAAGAGGCAGGGACAGCAGGGAGCCAGCTGTTCTTCTGTGGAAGGGATGGACAGGAGGAGAACTATGCACCTCGTAGGCGGTCGTCATCGTGGGCTTATAGGACACATGGTTGGCTCGTCTCAGCTCCTTGATGGTTTCGGCAGGCATGGACTTGGAGAATCCCAGGCCACTCCAGGTATTTGTAGGCGTTCTAACCTCAGTCACCACCGGCTTCTTTAACATCGCTTTGGAAACCAGAATATAAGAGAGGCAGTTGGTGTGTTTAATGCAATTCTTGAATAAAGTTACTGATGGTGTGCAGGGTTTCTTCAACACATGAAAAAGTTGTAACTCAATGTTATTTTTTAACATGCAATGCCTAAGAATAAAACATTTTATCCAATAAAAAGTAAATGAGGAAAAGCTGCGGGACTCCTTACTTACGCTCCTGTATTTCACAAAATACATTTTAATTTTGACAGAATCTATGTACTATGAACTCAAACATTTTGGGTTTCTGTTTTATAAGCATCCAATTTTTCAACTCAATCACCTAGACTGCTTGAAAATGAAGGTGTGCTGAAGGTCAAAAAGGGGAAGCGGTCCTGTGTCACTTACCTTTGGTGGCTAATAGCTTCTTCTGCTCATAGTCAAAGGCCTGAAAAGGAAATCCGGAAAAAACAGCTCTGTTACCAGTCCCAGAGCCTCCTGCCAATACCTGTGAATCAGCTTGAGACATTGGCTAAGATCTGCACCATGATACCACACATCTACAGCCCAGGCGTGATTGATTTAAACACTCCTTCCAAAGAAACTTGGCATAATCAACTACTTTTTATCTAATTTGATGTCAATGGCAAAGATTAGAATTTTCCTACCAAAGCTGAAACATTCGCATTTATGGAGAATGTCTTCCACATCAGAACTACCAGATGCCATAGATGCCAATGTGACATGAAGAACCTAACAGATGCAGACGCATCAAAGGAAGATGTCACACGATGCCCTTGGGCATCTGCTGTCTCTCCTTCGGTCTCAGAATCTTCCTGCATGCAGGTGAACAAGACGAGAACCAGGATAACATCGAGACGACGTACGAAGTCATCAACTGCGCTGCTGCAGCTGTGGCTTTGGAAGCTGGCTAACTGCACTGATCTAGCTTTGAACACTAACCATCCGATAGGCTCGAACCTAGATACCCTGGTACCGCAGAGAGGAGGATCACGCATTTGTGCTGTGAACACTGAACAGCTAACTCTGCAGACACCAGGAGAGATGCCGTTCCGAAGAAAGCTATGCCTGTTTGGCTACATCCTGGATGCTAACCTGTTCGCACCTCTCCATTCTAGGGAACAGATAAGACTTGATTCAAAGACCTACCACGAAGATCAGGAACCTACTGGCAAGAGTTCTTTGGTTCTACTCCCAGGAAGACTATACCAGCATATATAAGGTTCTGAGGGAATTACAGCCTAGGACAGAACACGGACGAGGTGACAAGGAGCTAGCAATAACCTTGGGTCAAGTGATAAACAGCAGCGGCCCAGTGTACACAGTAGCTCTAGGAATATGGTGGTATCTCACTGGTTTTTAGACAACACTGTTTCATGGCATTTGGGGACAGCTTAAACTTGCACTGGAAGCTTAAAAAAACCCACTTTAATTCCCAGGACAAGAGGGGGAAAATCTGAGGAATCATTACAAAGCCAGTGCTGGGCTCTGCAAAGAATACAATGTGTCAGAACTCATCTGGAACCTAAGCAAGCGACAGTATCTGGACTGAGGAAGAGAGTTGAGTGAAAAGCTGCTAGAGAGACCACACCCCTAGGGTGGTGAAGAGATGGGCATGGTCTTCAGACATAGAATGAGAGAAGTCTTCAGTGTGTCTCATGCCAAAGCTCCCTAACAGCTCTCACGGATTTCCTGGTGATTTGGGGGCCAGCTTTCCCCTACTGGCATAAACACATCTAGTTAAAGAGTCACCAGTAAGAACATTATCATCCAGCCTACAAGCAAGAACCATGGAATTTGTTCACAGGGATCCTAAGCTGGCAGGGAAGAAGATGGCAGCCATCAGACGCACAAACCCACAAGGATCATACAAGGAACTTGGTAGTTTCTTTTTAGAACTGATGCATTATGGAAGGTATGAATCCTATCCACTTCAGGACTCATGAAAATGTTCAAATGCAAAGAATTAAAAACAAACAAACAAACCAGGACTGAATTGTACTTCACTCTGGAATAAAACAGTGTCACTTAGTTCCATGAATTAACGAAACCTAGTCATTCTTTTCATTTTTTATTGCTGTGTTTTGCTTTTATTTCTAGGGTTTTGAGACATTTTTCGAGGTGGTGGGAATGAAGAAAGCAATAATGCATTTCAGGGTGGATGTTCTTTCCCAGTAACGCTGGTGCAGAAAGTAAAAAGTGTAGCTGTGTGCTACCCTCAGAGCACTAAGTCCTTGCCTCTCACCCACGTCTACGTGAAGATGAGACACCGATTCTCCTGCTCAGGAAGCTGCCCCGAGTCACGCTATGAACAGGGTAATAAGCCAGGGCCGAGGAAGCTGAAGCCATCACCAACACCCAAACCACACCACTATCACCATTTTGCAGGGTCCTCCAAAGAATTCACATTCCACACTCGCTCCTTCCATAGCCATTTTGAGCACCAAGTTGACTATCTCTATTTCCAAGACAGAAGAGTGAGATCTACTTCTCTAAGAGAAAGGTCATCTCTTATATGTCCATAAAGCTTGAGGGAACCAATAACACAGATCACCCTTTTACTGGTTTCAAGAGTCACTTTTACTTCATCTAAATCCTGTACTTAGTTCTTGATTTTCATATAAAACCAATCCAAACTCCCATATATCTATCTGAGTTTAGCACTGACCAGGGTGCAGGAGAGCAGGCTAGCATCTGTACATCTCCTGAACACTCCCTGCTTCTTGCATGCCCAGCCCAGCGCCCTGCCCTTGCATGACTGCTGTTGCAGAGCCTGCCTTACTGCAGCACCTGCATTACCACAGCGCCTGCATTACCTGCATGTGGACATATGGCGGCTGCGAGGCCAGGCGGGCCCTCTCCGAGTTCTGCTGGGCAGCTGCCCTCTCAGCTGCGCGCTCGCTCCCTGGCGCCTTCTTGTCAGCGAGGGGACTTTCTGCGGCACTCAGTTCAGGGTCTGAGAGCAATCTGTCAGTGCTGCTGTGAGAGAGAGTCGGGAGTTCACTGTTCCACCTGGCATACTGACAGGCCGCACCTGTCCCGATGCACGGTCGCTGTGTGTGCTTTGGCCACCACCTGCTTACATGTGTCATCTCATTCCACCCTCAGAGCAATGTCATGACACAGCATCACTGAGACAAAGGTGATGCTGTCATCCCACTGGATGACATGGAAGGAGCTTGTCCAAGGTCACTGCCCTAGGGTGACTCTGGGTTTTGAACCAGAGTTGAAACTGTTTTGCAAAGATAGGTACCCACACTATTGAAAGTCCTCATGGTATTCGACTTGTGATCTACAGGGCACAGAGGTACAGAAAAGATTTTTGATATTTGTACATCAATCAGACACCAGGGATTCATGCAATATTTGAGCACAGCCTAATAAGCCTGAAGGTAGACAGACGACAGCTATCACATGTGACATGCATGTGATACTGGTTATGAAGGAAAGTAAAATAAGTAAATATTCTCCAAAGCTTGGTTAGGGGATGAGCAGAGTATCACGTGATGCTTATAATGGACAATATACCAGAGTGAGAGTCCATGGTGCATCAGGATGACCTTAAGCCAAAAACGTGATGTTTTGTTCAATTACAACCAATCAATCACCTATCCGGTTCCCTGGTCAGAAGTTAAGACATGAGCAATACGCTCTGCCTGACGGATGCTGACAGAGGCTTCTAGAGGACATGGGAGCAAGAAATGAAGGTGCGTTTCAAGTTCACTAGGGCCAAAGGCCAGGACAGCAGCAACTCAGACGGTAGAGCAGGTGAAAGGGAAGGGATCCAGGGTCACATCACTGGGACTGCTGGAGCCACAGCGTGACATGGAGAGTCAGCAGAGCTAAATAAAGGGCAGGCCACACTGGTGGGAGCAGGTGGCAAGGAGACAGTGCTGGAAGCCGGGGCCTCATCCAGGTGGGAGGAAAGGAAGAGGTTCAAAAGGCGCTAGAGACAAAGGGAAGGGCTTGCTCTTTGAAAGAGTCAACAGACAGCCGGAAGCAGAGTGCTTTTGAGGACCATACACCAGAGCATGCCTATCTAGGGAATTAGTGCCCACAAAGGACAAACAGGTGAAGCAGAACTGGGTGGAATGAGTCCATTTTATGAAATAAAGTGGCTTTAGTAAGAAATGCAGGGAGTAAGGAGATATATATATTAATCTTTCCATAAAGATACTCTGTAAAGACAGCCAAGGAACTAAGAAGGCGGAACAGAAAATCAACTAGTTGGGCAGGTGGGAGACCCTTTCCCCGAGAGAGAACAAAGAAAAATAAAAGGCAATCTAAGGATACCTCAATTATAAACACTGTGCAAGGAGGAGTTCCCACTAATAAAACTCATGGGCTGATCTAAAAGTTTAAGTTCTGCATTGGAGAGAAGGGAGCCACAGTCTAAGAGGCCCTGCCAGCGTCAGCTGAGGTGGATTCACTGCACCGTCTAAGGCAGAAACAGAGCCTGAAAATTCCCCTCTCCTCATTGCCGAAGAGCACAGAATGTCTCCAAGGTTCTGAGCAAGAGGATTGTTTTAAAGATGCAGCTAGAAACCCGGGAACTCAATGAGGGGTGGGGAGAGATTACCAAGAGGGGCAAGGGTGAAAACAAGTCATTCGTTGAGTTTTTAAAATATAATTGTAAGAGGGAATTTTCTGAAAAGCCCATGATGAAATCTAACCCAACCTGGGTTAGAGTCTTAACCACTGAGTTCAAAACCAAGTCTTCCTCCACCATTTCCTCCCAGCAAGATGAGCATACATACTGCAGGTGTGAGTTCTTCGTGCCCTGTAGGAGCTCAACCGTCTGCCGCTTGGCACAGGAAACCTTGGAAGGACCCAACATCTGCTTCAAGTCCCCAGCATTCCCAGAATGGGAAGGACTTCGAGGCATGCCCACTTCAACGAAGGCATCATTGCAGCCTTTAGGACAAGGAAAGGAGAAAAATCAAAATGTCACCTTACGTCTGCCATGACGGGAAGTGAAAACCCGTCTCTGTGGAGAGCCAACTCCAGAATCCTAATTGTGCTCTCGGCTGCAAAGAGCGCACACCTCGGCGAGCTCAGGCTATCACCAGAACGCAACCTGAAGGGAAGACCCTGGTGTTTCCTGGAGACTGTCTGGAATACAGGGAATATACATTTGCCTAGGGACATTAGTGGGGCCCATGTGTTCCATGAAGGCTGTCGGGACTAAAGGGGATATGTACTTACATATGAACATTAGGGGGACCCTCATGTTTCCCATCTTCCTTTCCCTCACCATGTAGTTCCCTTTCTCCAGTACTTGGATCGACAAAGCTTTGGGCACCCTAGACAAGTCTACCACTGAGCTATATCCTCAACCCCAAATTTAGTCCTTTTGTTTTCTCCCCAAGTGCTGGGAACTGAGCCCAGGGCCTTACACATGCTAGGTATATGCTCTTCCAATAAACGACACTCCCAACTCATGTTTCTTCAAGAATGCTAGGGGGTGAACTTGTATGACGTTTTCCCATTACATGACAATGGAAGAGTGGTATTTCTGTGGGAAACGCCTTTCAGGCCATTCTTTTATCATGGTCTTTGGATCTGCATGCATGACATTGACTCTCCATAGTTGAGGTAGAGTACTGGTTAATGAAACCAACTCAGAACCCCTGCAGACTCTCCCCACAACCTAGAGGGGGGTCCCTTTATCCAAGCTACAAGTCAGTCTGCAAACTACAACCTTCCACAGAGTTTGCCTTGGGAGAAGCCTGCTCAGGCCCAGCTGTCTGCATGGATGGATCACCGTGACCGGCACTCAGCACTTTTTCCCCAAGCGATGAAGTGGACAGCGCCCCGTATTTCATGTTCGGAGGCTGAAATCATAAATAAGATAAAAACACGATTCAGAAATCACTTGTGGACTCAAAAATAGGTTTCCAGCAGCTCCTCTCTGACCTAAAGCACAGACCACCACACCTCACGGAAGGGCGTTACCTGCACGTGTCCGTTTAAAGAGGCCGAGATGGTCTTGCCTTCTGTCTGCATGCTGTTGATATGGACGTCAACGGGAGTCAGGCCAGGTGGGGGAGACGGGGCTGTGTGCCCGTAGGCGGGCACGCCCGACAGCAAGATATTGGTTAACGTGGCCTGGGCGGTGGATGGGATCATAAGGTGTGGTATAGCAGAGAAGCCTGGGGGGGTTCAGGAAGACGGTGTTAGACAGGGAATAACCTTCAAGTGACCGTTCCGTTTGAGAACAAGAAGAAACTTTCTTTCCTGTGAATTTAGAATAACTTCACATCTCTGTAAATGGATTCAACATTGCTATAAACATCATAAATGGGGGCTAGAGAGACGACTCAGTGGTTAAGAGGTCATGAGTTCAATTCCCAGCACCCACATTGTGGCTCACAACCATCTGCAATAGGATCTGATGCCCTCTTCTGGGCTGCAGACACACATGTAGGCAGAATACTATATATATAATGAACAAATACTTTTTAAAAAAATCATAAATGGAGGCTGGTGAGTGGGTAAGTAAGGGCCCTTGCTTCCATGTTTGATGACCTGAGTTTGATACCTGGGACCCATATGCTGCAAGTTGTCCTTTGACCTCCCCACGTGCACCTTGGCATGTGCACACACACACAAATAAATGGCTATTTTCTTTAAAGAAAAACAATGTTAAAATGTCCCGGTTCTATCTGTTCCAGCCCCTCACAGCACAGGAGAAGAGAGTAGGGAGGCTGACCCTGGGTCCCTGACTAAGAAATAGCTCCTCCGGGCAGCTGTTTGCAACGCTCAGTTTGTAACCTTCCTGGGCCTCTGCCATTGTGCCCTGAGCATCCGGCTGCTTTTCCTAACCTGTTTATCGCCTGTGCAGATAATGTGTTGCTCACATGAAAAGCTTTGGGCTTTTCTGAGCTTCATTTTAACTAATTTACACAGCAGGAGACTTCCTTTGGGCTAGAGCATGCTTTGGATGATTTCCACTTGAAGAAATGGAATTCTTTGTAAATACTGTTGCTGTTGATGTTGTTGTTGTTGTTTTTAAAAAAGTATTTTTTTTTAAATCTAAGAAAGCCCACCTCTTGATCATCCTTAAGTGACACTAACCTGTGGCATTTGCGGCGTTAGCGATGGAGGGTGCCCACAGCGTAGGGCTCGGGGTACCAGAACTTGAACTTTGCAAAGGACTGACTGAACTGTTGAGGGCGTTCAGGAGTGAGTTCGGGGTCGTTGACGTGTTGAGCGACAAGGTGGTGGGCCCCAATAGACCTGGAAGGAGGGAAAACTCAAATCAGTACACCTAAGCCCAAGACTCTGAAATAGAGACGGCATTCATATTGTCTTTTGGAATGAGCGCCAATAAAATCTTACACTTTCTAATCTGCCAAATACAGGTGACAGGTTTTCTTTCAAAAACGTTACTTCAAATATTCCTGTGAGATATCTCGTTTCACATTTCCAACGTAGGAATTTGCTCATCCTCAAATAGACAATAATAGATGCAAGACAGATGTGTCCAAATAGATGCAAGACAGATGTGTCCAAACTAACACAGCAGTCAGCAGGTGCACGGAGGACTACTAGACTCCAGTACGCTGACAAACTGGATGGACAAACCCCTGTTCAAGAGGAAGCCCTATGTTATTTCTCCAAGTGACTCACTTGTTATCGGCTTCCCAACCAATCCCTCTCCAAGCGTCCACACCTGGCCGTGCCGAGGGACGCCTTTCCTGTGGTAGACTGGCTGTCTGGTACTCGGCAGAGACGAGGCACTGCCAGATGGCTCTCTGCACGTCTGCGCACACACCGACTTCTCTGGGCTCCGATCCAATGACTAAAACTTGCCTAGGAAGCGTGCTGGCTTTGATTTATGTTTCAAGTGTCCCACGCTCGCTGTAACTGATGAGAGTCTCTCGTGGGAACCTGGGATCGCCAATCTAAAACTGTTCACTTCTACGTATTTCTGAAAGCTCACAGGTGCTGGTGTTCCTGGAGATGCGCGGTCAAGAGACCCTCTCCTCCACTCAGGGACTCTGCCTCTCCACCCGGTTGCTCAACTACAGCACAATGGAGTTGGCTCCTGCTAAGTTCTCTGGCATGCCCTGGTCCACAGCATCACTGTGCAGCTGTGGCTGTGTGGAGGCGATAGCTTTGGTTGGCAAAGAGCCTGCATTACTGTAGGAGTGTTCTAGTATGGCAGTTTGGAGCCCCAACCAGTTACGGATGCATTACTTCTTTCGGTGTTGGGGATTGAACCTAGGTCTTCATATGTGTGTTCTATCATTGAGCTATAACACAGCTCATCACACTATATATTTTAAAGCGAAAGGAAATAAATGTAAAAGATTTGCTGAATTTATTTTCCTGCCTCAAGACCAGCAAGGATTCTGCGTTTCTAACGACCTAAGCATTGTGAGTGGTGTGAGCTAACTTGCTCTCCTTAGTGGCCTTGGATTTATCAAGCCTAACCCTGGGGTGTGGGTTCAGGGGCTCTCCCCTCCCCTTCTCCAGCCGCCCTCCAGATTTGCAATTACTTTTTGGAACAAACTGGATAATCTTTATCTCTAGGGAGGGAGGGCAATACTGCAAAAGCCAGAGAGAGCAAACACACACACACACACACATCAGAGTCAGCCTGCTCCCTTCAATCCGATGGCATTCTTAATTTAGAAGAACAAACACAGCCACTGAAAATAAAAGCAGTCAGCCTGTGATTATTTATGCCAACACAGGGAGAATCTGGGCAGCCCAAATCCACAGAGCCGAACAAAAAAAAACACCAAGACTATGAATCAGGTCCTGTTGCTCTTCACCCCGCCCTGGGGCTCCAAGAAGAACACAGCATTTACACACAGCACAACGGGTAGAGAGAAAGGGAAGCAGACAAGCATTTCCCCAGTGGTAATAATAAACTTTATACCTAGTCCAGTGAGTCCAAGGCCTGCCGAAGCTAAGATATCCAGGCTGGGACATGCCAGGCCGGCAGGGCACGATGCTGGGGATAGACTGGTTGCTATGGAGACCCCACTGCTTTCAAGTCCGAGGAGACATTTCCTTGCTTCATACATATTTAAGGCATTTCGCTCAACACTTTTCACAATCACAGACTATGAAAACACATAATGGGGGGGGGGGGAGAAAAGGTGACACTGGGGTAGTATACAGTGAATGGAGGGGGTAATGAAAATGCAAATGAGGAGCCCACAGGAGGGCGAATACCACCTTCAATCAGCCTCTGCCACTCCTGACAAAGCTGCAAACCGTTAGTTACCACCTACTGTGCGTGCACAATTGCCGGCAGCACCCCTCTGCTCTCGCTCTCGCTCTCTCTCTCTTTCTCTCTCTCTCTGTGTATGTGTGTATATGTGTGTGTGTGTGTGTGTGTGTGTGTGTGTGTGTGTGTGTGCTATTGCAGGCAGCACTTACTGTGTGTGTGTGTACACTGCTTCAGGCTGCTCTGTGTGTGCGTGTTCACTGTTGCAGGCAGCATTCACCTGCTTACTGTGTGTGTGTGTGTGTGTGTGTATGTACTGTTGCAGGCAGTTCACTGGTTCTAATTCCCATCCAACCTTTAGAGGTGGGGATTCCTATCCAGAGAACCTTGGGGATTTAGTAAATTCGTGGTGTCAAAGCCCTGTCCTACTACACAGCCTCTGGACTTCATACTGAAGCACACCCCCTAACCCCCATGACCTGCAGAAGCCAAATGAAACCCATTATCACATACAGACTGCATGGTAACAGTAGCTTGTTTTTAATACACATAGTCTGATGGTTAGCTAACACACCTCCAGGCACCCCCACCCTCAGTGAGACAACATCTGTGGCAAATCTTCTGATGTGTCTGTATTTCCTTACTGCCTGCATATATATGCTATATATACATATATAATTCTATTCCACATAATATATTACTAAATTTCTAAGCATATATAAGTACACACACACACACACACACACACACACACACACACACACAGAGGCAGTAAGGAAAATCTGACTCAGAAAGCAGTTGAAGTAGTAGTCAGAATCCAGCCATTGAGCAGGCTGTCTAGCCTGACAGATGCTCATTTTCTCCTGAGCTATTGGAATTTGTCTTGCTTCTGTCTTTGTATGAACAAGTCTTTCCCTCAGTCTGATTGTGATGGTGACTGTAGTTACAATAGTCAAGCTGGTGAGGCTTCATAATGTCCAAAACCAATGGCCTAGTCTCAAACTCTGAACTCACTTCATCTTACCCAGAATCGGGGCTAGCTTGTCTTTTAAGGTTCTCTCTGAAAGGAGGTGTGGTTGTTGCCCTCCAGTTGCACACACAATATTACATTTACTCATGTAGAAATCACATATGATACACACACACACACACACACACACACTGTTCCAAACAAAAGATGGTATCTATGGTTTAGAAATTTTAGAATGGAAAGTTAGGCAGATTTATAAATCTCTGACCCCAGAGTCATGTGGTAGAAAGAGAAGACCATCTGTGCATCCTTCTCTGGCTTCCACATGTGGGTGTGGACACACACCTGCATACATGCATGCACGCAAACATCCATATGCACACACACATATGGATCCACATGCATGCATGTGAACACACATGTGAACACACAAAAATGAATAGAATCAGAAAGAGGAGGGAGAGAGAAAGACAGCCTTTCTATGTGAAACAGCACCACAAGTGAATGGGGACCCCGGTCCTAACCTGACACCCAATCTGATCCAGCCTGAATCTTATGCTTGCTAGCCTCCTTGATTTCCGACTTTCGTCATCTATGGCTGCCTGATCTGTGGTGTTGCTACAGCAGCCCGAATAGATTAAGACGTTTCCTGGTTTGTTTTCACCCAATGATACACTACAGGGCACTAAAGCAATGAGTCTACGCTTCTGCAATGCCAAACTGTATAGCGCCAAAGGAGGTTCACTAGACTCTATAAAGCAATAAAAACTAGCATTTAATAAAAAAAGTTAAAAAATGCAGTTGTTTGGAATTCTTTTCTTCAAAGCATTCCACAAACTTCAAAATTTACCACAGTTACAGTTTATAAATCTTTTAAACTTTTAAATATTAGAAAAAAATCAGGAACAATATACCATTGTCATAGTTATGACCTGGAACAGAGGCAATCTTTGTGACTTTGCTAACATCTCCCTAGATGAGTTCCTAATCCTACTTTCCTTCCTAGTGGTGAATTTGGGGTGTCCCCAACCCCCACATCAGCCAACGCTTCGTGATTTAGAAAGTATCAGCATGTAAACAGGGCCACCTAACACCTCATTCCAGTCTGGGGGTTTTCATTCTACCGTCCGTCCCTGATCAGCCCACACAGCAGACACACAGTGGCTGACAGTGACAGCCACCAGTGCAATCACAGGGTCCCAGGCTGCCCTGAGAAGGGGCTGCGACAATTTCCATGGTACTAACATCTGACACTCCTCTTTCCTCGCCTTCTTGCCGGCACTGAATATCCCGTTTCTCTCACTGCACATCTACCATCCGTGTAATCACCATGTCTCTACAGCCTGGGGCAGGGAAAGCGCTAAGGAGACTGAGCCCTTTCATTACTTGTGGCCTTTTAAGAAAGGAAAGACAGGGACAGAAAAGGCAGCTAACTGTTCTGCTAGGCTAGCACAGCAGCCGGTACATCGTAAGTTCTGGAAATGTTCCATGAGTTGATTTGAATTAGTACACACAAACACATGCACACATATATAAACATACGTGCACACATACACACACATACACAGCACACATATATAAACATACGTGCACACATACACACAAACACATGCACACATATATAA